CAGATCAGATCAGATTTGAATCTAATTAAATCTGATCTGATTCAGATTAAATTTAAACCGATCTGATTCAGATCAGATCAGATCAGATCAGATTTAATTAATTTCAGATCAGATTGAATCTAAGTAAAATCTGATCTGATCTGATCTGTTAGGAGCACTAACCATTATACTGAGTACTTAATTCCTCAGGCAACAGCACCACTATTGAAGACATCCCCCATCGGACCATTTTAGGCTGATCTGAAGCTAGGTACACGCCGCCTACTCATCCTTAATCCATTGCATGATACTGGTACTCAATTTATTTTACAACCTTTAGAGAGCACCTACTTTCATGGAGAACTTTCGACAGGTAGCATCAACCATCTAGTACCCTTCCATACCACCATTTTAGGTACGAGGTTTCACTCAAAGGCCACTACAGCCTGCGATTACCTAGCACCGATAGTACAGTTGTTTACCCCAAGTGGTATACTTTGTAGTGACCACTAGGACAGGAAGTAGCAGGCATCTGTCCAGGATCACCCTTATGGCGGGTATGGAATCACCAACCAGGATCCAAAGAGTAGGGAATCGAATCCTATAACCATGCTACCTATTCTGTGCACGAACAACTTGGTTGGTCTAAGACCTAACAGAAGGTCTAACTACCACTAAGACATTGCACCCTCAGCTTTACCATCTAGGATGACCATCTAGCCATTACTGACTCCAAGCGGTATCGTGAAGTGACCACCCGGACAGGAAGTTTCTCTCAAGGTATAGTAGTGACCTCAAGAACAGGACTGCGCACATGCCAATGACCTCATAGGGAACGTTAGAAGGACACCATGACCCTTAGTTGAAATGTGCGGCCTAACCATACACACTAATTTACCATGATGCAGTTCAACTACGTTAATCCCTGTACCTTCACGCTATTGGTTGTAACGTTCACAGTAAAATTCTTTTTATTTCTGTGGTCATGGGAATCGAACCTGCGACCTCACCATATTCAGGCTTAATGAGGGTCTCAGTGACTAACCACTAAGATAGGGTGACCAACCCTTATAAATCGTCTTTTTACAATCACTAGGTACCGAGAAATCTAGCAAAATGTTAAATGGCGCAGTAAACGTAAATCAAGAAATATTATAATGCCGATGTTTAACATTTTGTTGGATAACTCGTCAGCCAGTGATCAGAAAAGGATAAAACTAAAAACTAAAACTAACTCTCTCCCGTTCTGCTCATTTGACAATATTTATGAAAAAATAAAAAATTTTTTTCGAAGTTTTTTATTACTTTTTCTTTATATTTTCTTTATTTTAGATAACTGCGACACTTTACATAATGGCTAAAGATAACAAAAAGAAAGATAACAAGTCTAACAAAGATACTACTTCTAAACGTCCTGCCTCTAGCTCTCCAACTGGCACCGTTTCTGGTCAAGGTTCCTCTATGTCTGGTCCTTCATCAAACACTCCACCTTTGACCGCCTCTACTAACAAACGTACCAGAGTCAGTGCTGACGACTCTGTCATGAATGTTGATAAACCTCTCACGCCTCCTGGCCCTGTTGAGACAACTTCCGCTGAGATACCTTCTCAACCTGATACCTCCTCTCTTGATGCTTCTCAACATGCACCTGCTAATAACAACGATAAAGGCAAAAGCCTTGATATTACTCCCGCAGTTTCCTTCCCAGAACGTGCTGCCTCCCCGGACGCGTCCCAAGCTGCAGTACAATCTCAACCTACACTTTTTTACGCCTCGGCTGCTCCTAATGACGTCGAGAGTTTTTGGACTCACTTCGCTTTGAACCGCAACGCGTGCGACGCGGTTGATCGACAACTTTCCTTGTTTCCCTCTTATGGTAGTCGTGCCACGTGTAGTGGATCCAACGATTTGAAGAGGATCATCGTTTACTTCCAAAAAAAGGAAGATCTTGTCAAAGCCGTAGTTTCCCCTATGGATTCTTTGTTTGGCTTGCATTTCCATGCATATGACCCCCAGGCTATTAAAGCAGATGAACACGCGCGTACCCTGGTGGTTACCGACATCCCTCTTTTTATAACTGACGCTCTTTTGCGTGGTACCTTTTCCCGTTACGGCAATATTGTTCGCTGCCATACCCGTTTATCTAAACTTTATCGTACTGCATACATTACCTTTGAATCTACTGGTGCTTTACAGAACCTCGACTCTACTGGTACTTTACAGAACCTCGACTCTACCTGGGGCGTCCTTTGTGGAGAACATTGTTTGAGTATCTGCCCCGCTACTTTCTCACCTGAACAACGCGCTGAAAGACGCGCTCATGTTGCTTTACTTGCCGGTCTTCCGCGTGGTACTATAGCGGTCGATCTTGCTGAAATTGCCGATGAAGTTTCTGCTAAATCTATCAATAGAGCTCCGAATCTAACCCGATGGGTCGGGTGACCCATCGGGTTGACCCATAATTTTCAGGTCGGGTCAGTACATTAGTAAGATATCATCAGGTCGGGTTAATGATTTGAATGACCCAGGTCAAATTTGGGTCACTATATAAATTTTATTTTATGGAAACTAAAATATCTGATATATACTTCTCAGCGTAATTGATTCATTAATTACGGTAGTACGGAATTATGGCTGATCATATGATTTTTAAAAAACTGAATATGGAGATCGATAAATTTTATTAATCTCATTTTATTTTTCTTCGGTAAAAATAATTTTATTTTTTTAAATTTAAAAAAAAATATTTTTTTATCGGTTATTTAAACCGAAATTATTTAAATTTTATTTATTTTCTTTTTTTAAAATAAACTTTTTTTTTGGTTATTTAAACCGAAATTATTTAATTTGAAATAATTTTTAAATTTATTTTTTTTTCGGTAAGAATATTTTTACCTTTTTAATTTTTTTATGAAGAGCGTTTACTAACGTTCTTTAATAACTTTTTTTTTGTAGATTTCGGACTGCAACTCAGTAGGTATGGCTTTAAAGGCGGGATATATTTCTTTTTTATATATAAGAACGTTTATTAACGTTCTTTAACTTTCTTTTATAAGTTTTGGACTAGAACTTGGAATTAAAGACGAGATATTAGGTAAGGTTTTAAAGAGAGTGGGAGGGGTGGGAGCGGGATTATTGTTTTTAATATATAAGAACGTTTCAGTTACTAATGTTCTTTAACTTTTTCTTGTAGATTTTGGACTGCAATTCATGGGTGTAGTAAAGGGAGAGGAAGCAGGATATTGTTCTTTTTATATATAAGAACGTTTACCAACGTTCTTTATCTTTTCATTTGTAAATTTTGGATAGAGCTTGTGGAACTGGAAATTTGAATAAATATAGATCTCAACATTAAATATTTGACTATATTGTAATATAATACATTAATTAAAGTTGTAAAATTTAACTTAAATTTTAAATAAAGAATCAATAATAAAGTGTGTATTAGTAAATTGCGTCAGATACGTTAGTATAAATAATTACGCCAGTATAAATCAATTACGTTAGTAAAATTCAATTAGTATAATCTGATAAATCATTTCAGTTAGCAAATTGAAAAGTTTTCTTAAAAAATAAAATTCCAGGTCTATTAGAAAATATAAAAAAAAAATTGGCTTTACTGCCTTTACATCTTTTGATAATTTATATTAAAATTAAAAATTGTTTTTCGTTATTTAATTATTATTTAAATTATAAAAAAAAGGAGTTTTTACCTTGATCTGCTATATTTTACCAAATATATATAATAAGATGGATTATCAGATCCAAAATCTCTTTTTTATTTTAATACCATACGAAAATAAAATGTCTCAAAAAAACAATAATGAAGAATTTGAATTTAATCATCGTTCAAAACGAACTCGTTATATTAATATTACGGATGAAGAGGAAGAGCCTGAAGAAATACTTGATAATGAGGAAATCGAATTAGAAAACCATCAAGAAGGAGGGTCTCAGCTTGAAAATAAAGATGATACTTCAAGTGCCTTAAGTACATTAGACGAAAAGGATGAAAAAGGAAGCTTAGTATGGAAACATTTTGACAGATTTGTAGATAATAAAGGTACTTCATGGGCAAAATGTCGATATTGTGGTTAAGAAATGAATAAAGTTTTTAAAATATGAAATATACAAAATAAAGTCAAAATCACTGAAAAAATATTTTTAAATTTGATAATTTGATAGAAACGGTAAATATAATATGGACAGTGGTTCAACAGGAAACTTACTCCGTCATCTTAATAAATTACATCCGAATAAAGTTAATCCTTCTATTGCGCAACAAGCAGAAATTATAAAGAATTTTTTACAGTCTGCCAATAATGTAAAAATTGTGAGTATAAATTTTTTATGATTTTTTTAAGAGTTATGTTAGAAAAAAATTTTTTCAATTTTACTAAAAACAAGATATTATAATTTATTTATAGAAATTTTCTAATGAACTTTTTCGTGCAAAGCTTGTCGAATGGATTGCTACAGATGATCAGCCATTTACAGTTGTTGAATCACCTGAATTTCGCTATGTAATACAAATTTGTAATGCAGAAGCACAAATTCCAACGGCGGATACTATCAAAAGTGATATCTTAAAACTGTATAAAAGTTACCATATTAATATACAAAATATATTACAGGTTAGTAAATAATTTATGTTTAAAGTTAAAATTAATATTTTTTAATAAAATTAACCTATTTTTAATTAAAGAATACTCCAGGAAAGATAAGCTTCGCTTTGGACGCATGGACTTCACCAAATGTCATTGGATTTCTCGGCATAACGGGTCATTATATTGACGCTGATTGGAATATTAAAGATATTCTTGTCGATTTTGTAAATCTTTCAGGTTCTCATTCGGGTGAAAATATGGCAAATATGTTCGTAACATGCCTTAAGGAAAAAAAAATATTAACTAAGGTTTGTACTTTGTAAACAAATTAATTATATATTAATAAAAGTCAGTAAACATAATAAATCTATTTATCATTAGATTCTTGCAATTGCAGCAGATAA